CTACTCTTCCCGTGTCCTTTAGCTTAACAGCACCTTACTGTCGATATGGCGCTGCTCGACGCGCGAGGGGCGCGCTGCCTTGGCTATGGCGGCTGGGGCGTCGATTGTATACAGAGATCGAGGGGAGGCTGGGGTGAGTCCAGTGGTGAAGCACGTCTACACTTTAGGGTTACGATTTAAATGTTCGATATCACGCGCCCGGGACCTCTCCGGCCCGGCGCTGTTACTTTCTACGCCTTTCAACGCCGTCCCCTCCTTCAGGCCACCCTAAGTGCCGCCCCGCCTAATTTCTCTCTGAGGCCGCTTCCCCACCTGGCCTTGCGATGCTAATACTCCATGACCCGCCCTAGCTGTTGCCTTACATTGTATTCTCATGTATCCGACACTGAATTTTATTAATAATTTTGCCCTACTGCCTATTTACCTGCTATCCGCGCTATATTCATAAATTAATTCACTTACAGCCTAGTCCCCTTGAGCGCCCTACCTCTCCCTCTGAGACATCCATTGCATCATAAAACAATTTGGAGCCCCCCGCCGCCTTCCACCTACGTCGTCTGTTGAAGGAAGTGAAGATCCCAATCGACGACTTAGTCGCCTGGGCTGCATCAGTGTGGCCCTAGTGTTCCGACAATTAATTAAAAAACCGACGCATGACACAAAGTTTAACTCCCAAGTTTTCGGTTTGCGCTCTCCACACATAATACCATCCTGTGTTGAGCACATTCGAGTATCTTCCCTAAGTCGTAATTAAACATATTTTCTTCTGCAGGGGTCTCTATTCTGACTGTAATGCCGTGTAATTTTTCGAAGAGAACTAATTTTGTAGTTGCTGTTTGGAAAACCTTCTTTCGTATAACTTATCAAAACTACTCCTTTTTTTCAATTATGTGATTTGTCAATAGTAATATATTATATCTCCAAATCACTGTTCATGTATGTTAGCGTATAAAAATGAGGCCTGATGCCCACGTTAGAAACTATTTTGTCTTCATTTTTCAATGGATTAGTTTGTCAGCTCCACATCAGAGCGCAGCACGAGGTGAGCCAACGGCGCGCAAGACACGTTGGCGGGTGGCAAAAGGCGCGAGCAGGACCAAATTAGGTACCGGGGTGCCCCCAAGCACAAAATTGTATGATAATAAATAATAATAATAAATAATAATAATAATAATAATAATAATAATAATAATAATAATAATCAGCTAACAACCTTGTGGGATAAAAATCGGATCCAGATGAATGCTGATCCTCTGAAAAAAAAGTTGCATGCACCTACCACTGAGATACTGTTCCTGAGCCCCGGTAAATGTAGAGTTCATGCACGCGTGATCCAAGTCGGCCTATTCGCGAGTGCTAACCACATTAATAAACTTTCATTACATTATTACAGTTACAATGAGTGTGAGCTCCCCTTCGGGAAAAAAATCCTTCAGATTTACTAAAAAGCACTCATAGTGTTAGAATATGTTTTTAAAATTTGTAAATTCCACTATTTAGACAATATACCAGTCCATTAACAATTAATATACAGATATGAGCATATTTTATCTCTTTTTTTAAATAATTTATGATTTTTTCTGGGGGCAAAGAACTGCTTCTTTTGCTTGTAAGTAAATGCGGTCCTAGTCGTAAGTAAACACTTTTTAACCCTTAAAGCTTTTTTCAATAATTCTGTGAAATTGTAATCTCAGTACAATGACCGGTTTCATTCATATGGTCTATCCACTTCTATTCATGTAGAAAAGATATGAAAGTCGTTTCGTTATTTTCTTGTTCTCTTCTTCTTCATCTTCTTCGTCTTCTTCTTCGTCTTCTTCGTCATCTTCTTCGTCGTCTTCTTCGTCTTCTTCTTCGTCTTCTTTTTCGTCTTCTTTTTCGTCTTCTTTTTCGTCTTCTTTTTCGTCTTCTTTTTCGTCTTCTTCTTCTTCTTCGTCTTCTTCTTCGCCTTCTTCTTCTTCTTCTTCGCCTTCTTCTTCTTCTTCGCCTTCTTCTTCGTCTTCGTCTTCTTCGTCTTCTTCTTCTTCTTCTTCGGCCCCAAGCTGGCGGCAGGTGGAAGGTGCTGGCCCCATAACCAGAACGCTGCTGTGGGTCCCACCGGACTCCGGACGTTGTATAGGACATGCATCCAACTCGGACGCTAGGTCTCTGGCATCGCTGATGATGAGATGGCGGCTCTTCGTATCTTTCTCGATGTTCTTCAGCTAGGTTTTCTTTGGGCACTAGCTGGCTCTTCCACTGGGTTAGTCGCTGTGGCCAGAGAGAAGTTGTTGTGTAAGTTGGGTGGGGCTCATTCCACAGACACGACCGAACCGCCGTTTACGAACGCGTTTTGCGATGGGTGCCTGGTAGTCGCGTCTTAAACGGCCGTGCCTTTGAAGCCGAAACGGTATATATTAATTGCTATTTTAAGGTCGTTATGGTGTTTTGTTTCTTTGTGTCCTTTTACGCCTGTCCCCTAACTCTTTTCCTTTCAAATTTGAGTTATCGAGGTTTCACTGTGTTTTGCGAAAAGGAGCAAAAAGTATGTCCTTATGACTTTTCAGCTGCAGATATTTGCTAATACCCAAAGCGTTTACTCGAGTCAGCCATTTGGTAAAACAAATTTGTATTAATTTAATAGTGTTTGCTCCGTTGTGCATAATAGGATACCTTTTCATTCCGTTGGTCCCCATTAATTTATAACATCATAGCTGGAAACAATTTGAAACGTCAAATATGTGTTTTGACCTCCGCGGTGTTACATATTGCAACGCGGTGCTATGTATTTCTCGTCTCTCCCCAAACTCCACCCATTCTACATGATCGATTCGACCTTCCCTGTGTCCTGTCCACCCGACCTCTCGCCCTGCTCGCTCGCATAATTTAGGCGTGGATCTAGTTCTGCAATTACCGACAATTAGTCGCATCACGGCAAACGCACATGCTGGGAGAAAGGAGAATGAGCTAACTGTCAATCAGAGGCGCGAGCAGTGGCGATCGACAAGGTGAATCAAGGCTACAAAACTACGCCGAACTTCAGCCGTGATTACTATATTCTATTTACAGCTACAAATAGTATACAAATAATTCCTGTTCCTCGAATAGAAAACAGACAATGTACACCATGTTCAACAGTGGCTTTGAGTGATGGGCTACTAGTGATGCTATATAAATTACTAGTTCTGCAGTCGGTCATGATGTTAAACTCTTTTAAAGGTTACCTTCAAAGGTTGAAAGGTCACTTGGAAACGAAGAGGCGAAGATCACAAATGTGTTTGCTATAATTTGAAGATAATGTAAGGAATAATAATTAAAGCTTGGATTGCCTTGATTGTTAATTTATACACCTGTGTATTGCATAAATTCACTCTCAACTTCGAATTAGTATATACTATCTTGACGACCTATTTAAAGACAATTCAAAATGGGACGAAATTGCTACGCATCAGTCGTAAAGCGACGCTAAGTCGAGGATCAACGGAATAGGAAAAAATGAGCGCGATTAGACTCCCTCCTCCAGAGATGAGTCATTTATGGCTACCTCAAGGAAGCTGTAAAATCTGTCAAATATTTAGTTTTTACAACGAAAATGACACGGAATGTCAAGTGAATCGTGGATGCAACAGATAAGAAGCAACTACGAGTGTAATACTCTTACACTCATGAGATAGTATTATAGCAAAATTGGGTCACAGTTTTTTGTTATTGCCGGGTAAGAAAAAAGTAAAAGTATACAATAAATGTAATCAATGGCATAAACAATTTATATCGTGACGTTAAATATACAGCAAAAGGCAATACAAAGAGGAGAGGGCAAGTGAATAGAGCTGCGCGGAAAAGAGCAACAAGAAATACGTTTGTGAAACATCTGGGCCAAAAGGAGATAGTTGAAGGCGAACGTGTTGGTGTGAACAGGGTAGAATGGTGTGATCGCTCGTGGCGACCCCTCACCCACCGCCGCCCTTGGTTGCGCCACTCGAATTGAATTGTGAATAACGGCAGTCTCGACACTATGTCATAAGGCTTAGAGATCCAGCACAGATGCAGGACTTTACGACTGCTTGAAACGGACAACAAAATTCCAAAATTATACAAAACGCTTTCTATGGGTCACCGTGATTTTCGAGCCGAAATGAGGAAAAAAATTAATAGCTAACCTTAAGGAGAACATTATGGTGTTTTGTTTCTTTGTGTTTTTTTACGCTCGCCCCAAACTCTTTTCCTTTCAAATTTGAATTATCGAGGTTCCAATGTTTTTTGTGAAAAGGGGGGAAATAAAATTTGCGGAAGAATGTATCGATCCGATTGCTCCGGAACGGAAGATTCGGTGCCAAATTCTTTCCGGGTGTCCGCAGTTGGCCAGGACGAGAATGGGCAGACGAAAAGGGAGAACAGACAGATGGTCCGGCCGTAAAGCAATTTCACGCGCCGTTAAATGTCGAAATTGGCAATTAAGTGAGTTATCTAAGGAATAAGCGTCTTTGAGATCAAAAGCAGTCAGTCGATCGACCTCCAGCTCTCAGAGAGCTTTCTCTTACCCATCTTTCGGAACGAACATCTCGCTCTGTTCTTTAGAAATACAAGTCATTATCATAACAGCATACAATAATAATATATTATCGGTTTCTCGTTGTACTGTATTATGGAGACACTTTCTTTGATAGTAGGTAAATGTTCAAACATGGAAAGTGAAAATTTTTCATTTGGCCTCATTTTTTAAGTTGCAAGTACACAATACTGCCAAGTATCTGGAGTACTTGCTAGAGAATTGACACTCATCACTAATTTTTACATTTTTAAAAAAGAAAAAAAAAAATAACCATGGATCAAATAGTGTTATCTTAATACAAAATATGAACTATGAATAATAAAATTGTTTAATACTACCTCATTATTACTAATTTAATGTGTAATAATTGTTTAATACTACCTCAAAAAACCATATTGTTAATTTTTATACAAAAAAATTTATTACGAACAATATATCTACAAATATGTAACATTTATAAAGAAAAGATCACAATGAAAAAAGAATATTTACACAGAATATATCATCCCAATAATTTAATATAGACATATTAAAAATATGCAATCTTGCTCTCAAGCCAGACATAATAAATTACATAGATGCTGTATTTCAAGCACTCAGTATACTATTAACAATAGTATCTAATGGGAAACTTTTGATCTTTGTTTCTTCATGAAGTCTTTTGCAAGTCTGTCTCCCTGCCTATGATCCAATGCTTTGGAAATGCGTGAATCTGGAACAAAAGTAGTTGTTATTTTTAAAGATGTTACGCAAGTTTTCATTATAAAAACTGAAGTTATTTAATTTTCTCGCACAAAACACTTTATACTGAAGAAGATAAATTTAAAAAATAGAATTTTCTTACTGAGATTCTTTGGTTTGTTGAGTTTTAAGTGAATCTGTTCCAATTCTTCAAGACCTGTCGTCATTTCAGTCTGTGGTATATCAGCAAAGGGAATGTATGCTTCAGCAACGAACTCGTTACCAAGGAAATCTTGATCTTTAATTGTAAATAAAATCATTCCATCCTCTACTTGCCTTTGATTATTTGTTAATGCTCTGTTGAAAATGGGTACTTTATTACTATTCAAATATAAGCATATTAGCACTTAATACAAGTTATGAAAACTGACTACTAGCACTTACAGAGTAAATGTTTCGTCGAAGAGAGGAAATAAATTTTTCTTGTGCGTTTTAGTTCTTGGTTTTGGTGCTCCAATAAACTTTTCTGTAGGTAATAAATATACTTTAACATAAGGATCACATGAACCTGTAAACAAATAATAAGATTTTAATGATGTTGGTCTGTTGCATTTAGTACTTTTCATTTTTTTAAACATATCCAAATTAAAATTTACCATTGGAATCTTTGGGATGTAAGTTACGTGCATTGAGAATTTGTATCCTTAATAAATCTTCAACAAATTGGGCTTTTATTGTGATTAGACCCCAACATGCAGTTTCCATTGCCTTCTGCTCAGCAAGTCTTTCTAAATGGAATCTATGAATAAGCTGCCAGGTCTCCATACTATGAAGAGACAGAAGATCTTCAATCTCGTGTAGTGCTTCAGTATTGCATGCACTGCTATGCTCCTCCCCTTGTCGAAAGAAACCCACAAGAATCTTCAGCGTTTCTTGCAGATTTGTGAAGTATGATGGTGGTCTCCTTTGCTGCAATAGGTCACAAATTCATAAAAAATCATCTTTTCAATAATGCTAATGATCATCAGATCTACATAATCCAGATGATGATGATCATGATGATGTTAATAATAAATAGTAATAATAATAAAAAATACCTCAAGACTATTTTCAACAGCTTTGCAAAGTATTTTTGATAGATTTTCCCAAATTAAAGATAAAATTCGTCCAAAGTTTTCAGAATTGAGGTCTGAATGTAGGATAATCAAATTATCATCCAAATATTTCATCAATCTATCAACATGATTGTTGTCTTGATGCAGTAGTTCTGCCCCTTCCAATAAAAATCTGTTAATAGCTGGTGTCATCTGTAAGAATAAAGTGATTTAGAGCGAGTACAGAGAGCTTCAGTTTACTCCTGACAATTGGTAGTTTTTGATGTAATCTTTAGTGCATTTAACTATATAATCAGCTTTCAAGTATTCAACACTTTTATGGTGTTATGGATTACCTGTCAGAACTAATTGTGCATAGTACCTTTTTTAAAAAATATTTTAGTTCCAAAACTGTTTCATTACTTCCATTTTGTATTGGAACAATCTGAAGGTACCTTAGAAATAATGTTTATCTTCTGAAGAGTCAATTTCTTTTACTCAAACAATGAATATATTTTGAAGAAAAGAAAAACTGATATTTACCTTTTGAGCCACAGTTTCTAGCAAGTCCACAATCTTATTGCCGACAGTTTCTACCGTATTATCTATGACTAGTTGAAGGGTTTGCCTACAGTGCTCTGCTGCTGTACTGCTTCGAAAGTTGGCAAGTTCATTGACAATATCATCCATTCCAAGTTCACCAACAAATGGTAAAATTGATTGCCGTACGTAGTCTATGTTATTAATTGCAAGACACCACTGAGAATAATGATGAATATTAATGAACTGCTTATTATGCATGTTAATTCATATGCATTTATGTTTTACAACTACTTACTTCTTTGGTTACTTCAAATCGCTTTTCAAAAACATTTTCACTTTCTCCCAAACCCTCAACTCGCTCACTCATTTTGTCCGCATAGAACACTGAACACCTACAAATATCCTAAAGGCAAACAAATAAGATAAGCATTTTTTCAAGCGATAAAAATCTTATTTGAAGTATTCTTACAAGCATACACTTACATCAATGATTTTGGCAACGAATGTGTAAGATCCCTCAACATCAGGCCAGGAAAGCTGCTGCCAGAATATTTTTATCTGGAAAAAATGAGAGTAAAAATTATAGAAATTTATTTAAGTATGTATAAATGTAATTGTGAATAAGCCAAACTATACATATTTTCTCAATGATTAAATTTTACCTGATAAAAAATGGCAAGAGTATCAACAGCTGAGGAACTGTATTTAACAGAACTGCTCACAGGAACTAGTTCATCTAGTTCAACAGCCTTATTTATCCTTTGCAATGCCTTCCATAAAGCAATATCCAACCATTGTGCTACACCTCGGTGAAACCAACGATGGAATTCAGTTATTTTATATTTTGTGGTATCGCTTGGAGATAATCCTGTTCCTAAACTAAATTACAGGTATAACAGAAATGATATAAGTCTGTATTGTACATTTTAACATATTTTCTGATAAATTCAACTTTCGAGTAGTTCTTTTACTACTTATACTTACACAGAAAATCTTTGGAGAATCAGGTACAATTCAAATAACTTTGTGCCCATTGTTAGAGGATCATTTTCATTTACTTCTGGTGGAATCTCACTAGTGAACTTCAGAGGTTTTAAACTCCTACAAACATCTTCAACAACAGGCTCTACCAGTTCAGATACCTGTTTAAAAAGTTTAACATAAGATCTAGAATGGAGAGTTTTATGGACATTTGTTCAATGAATGAACAATAGATTTCTTTTTAATTTTCAATACAAACATTTCGCTTCAATAAGTATTTCAATTGATTAGAATATTTCAAAATGCAATTCAAGTAACACCATAGTCGAACAAAGATCTAAGAGTTTTGCCAGTACAATGATTCTCAATCTATTATGTGAATTTCCAGGTTTACATTAAAAGCAAAGGCCTCCTGCATGAGCAGGGAATTCATTTTAATTTTAACTTTAGGAATTTAATTTTAGACATTTCTTAGCATTACTCTAGAACAAATCACAAATACAAATCTGTTTTACTGAGTACTGTACTTACTTTTGCTTCATAAATAGAATACAAAATTTGTGCATAAGGGATCTGCATAGATCTGAAATAAGTACAAAATATTCATTAAATATCAAGTTAAATATCAAATCAAATTTGAGTCAAAAGGTTTCAATTAGATATGTACATATAAATACTTACTCCTGAAAAATTTTATCATGAAATTCAGTTGCTTTCTGAAGATCTGCACGGACAAGTTGTACTATTTTAATTAAATGATTTAAACGGGTTTCTTCTGATGATTCACTATCACTGATTATATTATTTTCAATGATGTGATCATACCTGTAGAAACAGAAAGTAAGAATTCTTCATTATTGCTGCTCACTCTCATTTTAGACAAATGTTACATTACTTGTTTCAAAGAACATCAACAATTTCATCATTAAAAAAATCTATGAATTTGAACTTGCCAGTCTTGTGCTCCCTGAACAATTGCATGTCTTGTAATAGTGTCAATATCACAATTAGCACTATCTTCATCTGGAGGTAACCATCCATACAGAGCAGTAGGAAATAATTCAAAATCTTCTGGTGGAGTCAAGCACCTCAGCTTAGAGAGAACACTGTAAAACAATGAAATATTGTATTTGCAGGCTTCAATTAAAATTTCTTTTGAAAATGAATTTCAACTGCTGATTATTAATTTCTAAGTAATTTCATTATAATCATTTATTATATTCAGCTTATTAGGCTTGATTATAAATACAAATATTTTTTTTCTTCTTCTCCTTCTTCTTCTTCTTCACACTATTTTACACTTCACTTAATAATCAATCACAATTGAAACACTATCCTGTTTTTGTATCAGTCAGAACTAACAATTCTTAGACATATTCAAAAGATAGACTACTTCATATTATTTTTTATTAATTTGACTTGATAAAGCCATAAATTGCAGTAACGTAATATTTGGTTTTTGAAGGAAATTCAGTCATGTGTCGTAGATAAAGTGTTCATTGTCGTTAAAAAAAACATGATATTTTAAGACAACTAAGGATTTTAAGACTAACATTTGGAAATTCTTACCTCAGTAAGGATGTCAATTGATTAATGGTATTCTTATCACTGGGTGTTAATTTACGAATTTTCCTTATGGCATTGAGACAAGATGGCATCAGTTTCTTAGTAGATTCCCAAAACAGTTTTTCCTTTAACAAAATATAAATATAGATTATTACTAGATTTCAATTATAAAATTTTCACTTCTTTCAAAGCAAAAATATTAATTAACTCATCTGTATTAAAAATGCTTAAAACCAATAAAAGTTCATTTAACTGTTTAAAGCAAATTTTTTTAAATTATTTATTTGATATTTTTAACATGATAAAATTGCTTTTTTCTTTTGGTTCTTTGATTAGTATACTTACATTCTCATCGCATAACAGTTTATTATTAAGTGGCTTCAATAGATTTTCTAATAAAATAGGAAATACTTTGAAGCTTAAATGATGATCTAGATGAACACTGGAATATTCAACCCATTTTGCTAATATGATTTCAGTCTGTGAGAGACCACACTGCACAAGATGTTGGGTTAAAATTGTTTGAGCAGCTGATGAGAAGTTTCCTTGCCAGTGATATGGTTCCACCTGGAGGAAGTAGAATAATTTCAATAGAAAATAAATAGCTACTGACAAGAAGTACTGATTTGATATCTACAGAATTCTATCAAAGAACTATGTACTACCTTACTACCCCCACCAGTAACTTATACCCAAATCAATTATTCAAAATTAAATGCAATAGATAAATAGGGCTACTTTTTTCTATCATTTTAAATTTTAACTAGCCTCTCAAATTTCAACCATCAACCATTCAACTACACAATTACAAAATCAGTGGTGGCTCATTGATTTAGATCAGGTTGAAGAGTTAACCCATTTCAAGTAAGATCCAATGTCAAATTTACTTGCAAATAAAATAAGAAGTTGCTTAGGAGGCCCCATTCCTAATGGGCTCAGGAGCAAAGAAAATTTCATAAAATACCTGTTTATAGCAGTAAATCATTGTTCATCTAATAATATACTTTTGTATTTAAAAGTTTGCTATTATTTTTTTTAAATATTTGATAAATGTTAAATTAGTCAAATAATAAGCGGACATTCATTTTTTTGTCTTCATGCTCAGTTTATTTGAAATTGAGAATCCACATTTTTTAAATTTATTTGGACCTTCATTTTGAATTTATTATCATCAATAATATAATAAATACTGCAAAACAAAGTTGAATTTATAATTTTACAAAATTTTTCCTTTGCACTATAAGATAAACTAATGTAAGAAAACAAATAATATGAAAGAATTTTGAGAAAACATTCATATTTCAACAGCCCCCTCCACGTCTTCATTCCTTTAAGACACCATTTTGGAAACATTCTGAAAAGCGAAGTAATTTTGAATTACCCCAACAAGGAGATACATACTTCAGGGGACAGGTATTAGTGTAATACTTAATGGGATGTATGCGATAGGCAGAGAAACAAAAAAGAAGAGGGTTGGTAGCTATGTGGGTTTTAAGAGCAGCAATCGTACTGGTGAGCCACCTCTGACGTAAATAATACTACTACTAATGCCGAAACCCGTGTCAACACCCACTACAATGAATTTACATCACCTAACTCTTTTTTTGGAAAACACTTTGCCATCAATCACATCAGTACCAGTGCATTTTGATTTCTTTTTCAGTTGAATCAAAAAGAGTAGGATACCCAGCTGAAAGAAAAAGGCTTTTTCAAATATTGCAATAAACAAGGGGTGGCAGCTGTTTGAAAAACATCAACAGATTTAATTTCAGTATTTGAAATTTAGGACACATATTTACATATAGTTTAATGCATCAGTAACATGCTTGAGTTCACCCAATCTTACCTTTGAAGTCTCAAGATGATGTAAAAGCAGTAGCCGCAGAAGATGTCTATGCTCTTGAAAGGCTACTTGTGAATTTTTTTCCGAGCTAAAGGCCAGCTTCAGTTTTACCAATCCCTGTTTCTTTGCTTTGCCTTTTCTTTCCAGTGTGCACCACACTGTTTGGCCGGGAGCGGGAATATTCTGAAAGAATGAGTAAAATAAAAATAAAAAGAAGAATCTTGGCGACAAGGAAGGGGCGAAGGGAGGGATCTAGTTTCTGGGCAGCATTGAATTCTCAGCTAATACATGCAAAAATGATACAACCAGGCTCATCAGTACTTGCCATGAATGAAAAGACAAGGTCATCTCGATTAATTAATCGGAGAAATTTAAGGAAATTGACGCGATAAAGACTTTCAATCAGAGAGAAGACAGAAGCAACTGTTAACACAATACTGGGCTTTTGATATTTTTATGGCTTATTTTATTGATTGATAGACTGAAGTTTACGGGCACGTCAAAAGCTATTATCATTATTCCCACTTGTGTAGTGAATGTTCTATCCCGGAATGTGGCGGTGCTACTCCTCCTACTGCTTGGTGAGTTCCGGCGCCGACCTGCACGTCACCTTGCGAAGGGTTTCTCGCTCTAGGTATCTCCCTCCAGCGTGACATCACTCCAGCTGCCGAGACGTGCCTTAAGCTCCCGACATTTGTGATAGTGTAAAGCACATAGGTGAGTGTAGGGGAGGATAGGAAGAGGAAGGAAAGATCGAGCGCGACACGAGGCTCGTTTGTTGAGGGTGCTGCTTCCGAATTCGCCAGGTACTGACCGGGAAAAAACACGAAAAACTAGAGATCAGAGCAACGGACCACGATAGTTCTTTCCCAGATAGAGGCTGAATTCGATTTTGTTATGTCGCTAGTGTCCAAAATCCGCCACTGTCGGGTCTCGAACGCTGGGACTGCCAGAGGTCAGAGTCGCTGCAGAGGGAGTGGCAATGCTGGCCCGGAGCTAAATCCACTCAGCTCGACGCTTGTAAAACGTCGCCCCCCACTGACTTGGTATAAGCCCCTCCTGGTGGTCCCTGCTATCGAATGTTTTACGGAAATGTCAATCGCATCGTTATTTTAATCGGATCGTAAGTGTAGCACAGATGGGGAAGTCCTGGTCTGAAAGAAGGCAGAACACAGGCGCGCAACAAGAAACTGCCTAAAGGGAGGGTCTACGTGCGAGTGATAGTATTAGTTCCTAAGCCATATGCTTACACCTGAACTTAATAGTGTTTTTATTGATACTTTAGTACTACATATCTTTGAAATGAAGATTGCTTAATAATTTGTGCTCCAGTACATTAAGTTTAAGATATTAAAAAAGGACGAGGCTTCCGAGGACGAGTCAATGGACTTATCAGGAATCGCCGCGTTCTAGTCATTCTTGACAATGTCCCGGATGGCATATTGCGACCTTCTGCAATTCTAAATGCACAGGAAAAGAAAATTGAATTGTGGGCAAAAATAGTTAAGACGTGGCCCCCTTCACTCAATAATTCCTTTAAATATATGCTTCATCTGTATTTGATTAAAAAATTAAATTTAACTGTATTAAAAGCCATTTAAGAGTGTGAGAGTAAGTGTGAGTGTGAGTATAAGTGTGAGTGTGAGTATTAGTGTAAGTGAAAATGTGTGAGTGTGAATTTGAGTGTGTGCGTGTGTGTGTGTGTGCGCGCGCGCGCATGTGTGTCTGTTCGCGCGCGTGCGTGTGTTTCTGTCGTGGGAGGTAATTTGTTATTTAGTCGACAGTACTATCAAAACAAACCTAAAATTAGTTAGGGACGGGTCAAATGAGTAGGGAATCCCAGGCTCCAGGAAACGTGTCTGTAGCAGAGAACATAGTCCTATTCTTACCCTGAGAGGTAAAAGGGCGCTCCCGACGAATTCATTGTCGTGTTTTCCCGTGGAGGCGGTTACTGCTATCTCCTTCATGAGCTTCCTCAGGCCCTTGACTCCTTTTACTCCGCCGATCTTCATCATTTTCTCGCGAACAGTTTCCGCCGGGTCGAAATCCCTGAAACAAACGAACGCACATCTCACTTTTCTAGAGATCACGAAAGGTGAAACAATTCGAAGAAAATTACGTACTGAATACAATGCGGTTCGTTCGACTCTTTAGAAAGTATTACCAGTAGATTCGACAAGGATAAAATGGCTAAGTATGAGAAACAAGAAGAGAAAAACAGTTTCCCTTGAACTTTTGTTTTATCTTTTCTCGCCATATTGGATAAAATCGTTTGTTGTGGATTTTTTAAAACAACTTTTCCAACTTTTCACCAATAACATATTAATATAATGCACAATAGAATCCAATTTGTGAATCGAATTGCTTAAAATAATGAGTACTTATATACTGAAAAACAACACTGCATCTGGACTTGAATGAATTATAACAACGATTTTTTTTGACTTACCATACTTCGACGCAAAGGACATCTTCGGAAGGATTTTCGACAGGCCTGAAGAGGGACAGTGCATTCATTAGTATTTGGATTATAGTAACATAATATGAATTGAGAATTATCTTTTGAACTTAGACAAATACTTACAAAGAGAAGTGTTCCTCCCATGTTGGACATAAGGTTCCCGATTTCACGGAAGTATTATAGCGATGTGTGTTTGCCGAAGTTAAATATAATGTACAAAATGGATCGCTAAGACCTGTAACAAAAATATATTGAGAAATATTAATATGGAAAAATTATAATACGCTTCTCATACGCAAGCGTAACCAAGAATGAAGATAATCTACATTTATAATTACCATTTGCATCTTTTGACTTCAATTCCTTTGCTTCTATCACCTCTACGTTCAATAGAATGTTAGGTGCCTGCAACAAATAAACGAAATTAAAAATGCCACTGTACAATTTGTCGGTAGTATGTTATTTATTTAAATCCGAAAATACGTATGACCTGTAAATAAAATGGCATTTTAGTATTGGTTGAAAAACAAAGTACCCGCAAATTTAAGTATTATCTATTAAGGGTGGTTATCTTAAAAATAAAAACTTATGTTTTGCAGGAAAATAAAGTTTTCTTAGAAAAATTCCAAATGTGAATGATGTATAATAACTTTGAGTAAAACATTTTTAATATTTTAATAACAAAATGACAAGAATGTTCACTCAAGATTAAGTGAGTTTCATCTGAAATTCAATTTATTTCAGTGACTGATTATAACGTCACCCTCAGCCTCGACGTCCTGTCGCAAAGATTCAAACGTCCTTGGCGTTGTCTTTCAGCCTCTTCCGAGACTCGTTAATTATTTTTCCGTAGCGATGATGAGATAAATAAATCCTCAAGATGTGAGAGAATATATAGTTAGAAAACTATGAGAATCGATTGATCCTGTTAGCAATTCAAAAGTACTAAGTAGTTCTCTAAAGTTGTTGTTTGTCGAAATCGGTAAGATACCGTGGATTGTTACGAACAGTTTGTATTTCGTTCAAAATTCTTTGTAGTTTGTTTCAAACTTAATAAAAAGGAAAGATCTGTTCATTAAGTGTAAATGCTACGTTTTTCAATTTAAAACCAACTACATGAGAGAATTTTAGTTTTCAATATGAGGAGTTTGTTAAAATGATTGATTGTAAAACCATTTATACATTTTGTCACGATATATTTATGGTTTTAAAAATGGGTCGTGTAGTATAAATAGATATACATGAATACGTTTCTTGAAGTTGCCATCCCCAAATCAATACATTTCACAGCCTTGAAATGTATAGCTGCTATATTTGGAACACTAGGTGCGAAGTAAAAAAAGATTGAAAATGATTTTCATTCTGTATATAAATCTTCAAAATCTGTAAATACTCTTCTATTATACGCACGGTAAAGTAATTAAGATTACATAGTAAGATTACATCGTCTCGCAAATGATCGGTAAATGGATTATTCGTTGCAATTCATTCATTGGTTTACAATTATGCCCACTGTAATGAGTGTGAATAAAATATTCGTCTTAGAAAGCTAAACTTCTAACTCACCCTTCAAGGTGCGTGTTTTTCCATCAGCCAAATATAAAAGATTTGAAATTAAAAAAGGGCGTTGCCAAGACTTTACTTTCTTATTTTCCTCACATTAGAAACGGAATATTTCCTTCCGCTAAGAGGTTTAAAACAAAAGGCAAAATATTGGCCTTAGAAATTTGAACTTTCTTGAAAAGGATAAAATGAATAGGATATTACTTAGGACCATTTTATGATTGGGGCGAAGTAAAGAGATATTAAGGATCCTATTCTGTAGCTTATTGCTAGAGAATGTTGAAACAGTAGCTTCATGTTAGCAGATGAAGAGGTAAGATACAGGTAAAAGACAGATATAATTGGATATCAATTTTGAAGAAACGAAACTAAAACACGGGAAAGCTGTCGGTTCGCGTAAAACGTCTAACATTTTTCTCATCACAAATCATATATAGAAAAACTGAACTTGGCTCTGCCCCGTAGATAGGTCAGAATTGTAGTCATCGCATCACCGTTCACGCCAACTCTTAGATAACTTACTCTTCACGAGTTTCAGCGCAAACTTCAAATGTATAGGTACAAATCGTCGATGGCAATATTACAGAGAATTAAGACAGAGTGATTAAAATATGGATATTTTTGCCTAGCTTGCGAAGAACTAAATATGCAAGTTCTCGGTCGAATGAATGCAAGAGCAAGTACGATGAGAGTGGGTCCGTTCTCAGCTAAATTCGCGTTCGGGCGTTCGCGACCGTTTATGACCAAATATTTTAAACAACTATTGGTGCCCGTCGCTCTGCAGCCGAAAGTTGTGGCGGACACCACAGAAGTTCTAAATCGCCACAACAATATCAAATGATCTTTAACTATCCGACCGAAGTGAGCTAGTCAACGTGGACAAAGACAAACTTCGTTTTGTTGGTTTATGAACTTTATACCCAGTAGAAGACCCATCAAGGTACGACACCTTATCCATCAGAAGAAAATTATGACAAAAACGTCCGATGAAATGGGCGAAATGTGCTGATGATAGTTTCGACCAAAAATAACATAACCTCATTAATTCAATTAAAATTAAGCCTCTTTTACACACATATTTGTCATATCAAATCAAACAAATCTAATATTTCCGCCTCCATTACATCACATATGTCGCATTGTGTCGCATGTAGTACGTTATAATTTAAATTCGGATGTGTGGCGCAGTCAAGCATAGAATAGCCATTACCATTCGGTAAAAAATAGTCAACAATTATACGTTATAATTTAACTTTTCTTCGGTAGAATTTGCAATCGCGCCGACCTTACCCTTAAGTCTAGTGGTAGTTTTAATGGGTAACAATTTCCTAATTGAAACTTTTACTGATGTAGTTTTGTGATTTCTAAAATAAACAAGGAAAAACCAAGGACGCGAGTATTGAAGTAATATCGCAAAACATTTTCTTCACAATTACGATTAGAGCACTACCAGAAACTTTCTAAAACAACTAATAAAATTTATTCCTCTCACTGACTATACATCTCGCGGACCTAGTAAACTTCTCCACTAAACTGAAGGGAGAGGTGCGACATTGGGACATGATACCAGAAAAATTGGTGTAATGTTGCAAACACGATTCTTGTAGAACTAGTAATAACAATTAATTATGAAATAAAATATACTGGGCATTTCCCGGTCTTGGGGAGTTTGGGGGCCAGGAATTTCTCTGTCTACTCTGAACGGAAGCAGTTTTAGAAAATGTCATTTCAGCGCTTGACACTACATTAACTACACTATACGTAATGGACCAAATTTATTAAGCATTTCTGTCACATAACGTAAGCTCGCTTTACTGCAAGCTCCTTGCGTTGCAGGTATTGTTTGCATTTTAATTATTGCATTTTCACTACAATTTAACTGGTCTTCTGAGATCGATATAAAAACGTTCTTGTAGCTTAGACTTCTGTAAGAAGCTAGCTGGCTGGACGAATTCCTACTAAATAGAAAGGATCTTTCATTCGGCAGCAAACGCTAATCTGCTCAGATCACTTTAGAAGACAAATGGCTAAAAAGTCTACAAGCGTATATTAAGCTGTGCGTAATAAGTTTCAACCTATCCTGATTCTAAGCTCTACTTCCAAACTTTCAACTTTGTGGTTCATTTATGTGCACAGCTCGAAAGTCCACAAGTGATCTTCGTGTAGGGCCTAGCGATACCTCATTTATACAGTAGATTCTGAAATGGCACACATTGTCTAATAAAACCTGAATGATGCGACTTGGAAAAAATGAAATATAAAACCATTCGTGAATCAAATTATTTGCGGCCAAAAAGTTTCGTAGAAGTAAGGAAATTTCGACCATGCAGTCCACGCCTCGTATGTGATGTGGCGCGCAGAACTTTCACATTCCTTTGAATAATAAAACGAACGAAATACAGAAGATTGTTTACGTGTTTCAATGTTAATGGCAATATTAATTACCGAAATGAAAATGAATAATGGTTATAAAACCTAAAAAAACTAAACCCTAAACCTAAAACAATGTCTAAAATATATTTTTTAAATATTTTATTTTATTTAAAATGATGAAGACTCCCTTTATTCTTTAAAATATGTTGCGATATAGGAAACTATTTCCTGTTTGCAAAAATTACATATGTTTAATGTTTGAGAGTTTAAAAGTATTCGATATCATAATTTTCTCTTTCGTGGAATAAATTCATTTCATTATCCATTAGTTTTTTTCACAACACGTGCACGTGGTATTAACGATTAGCCTCCAGATTCGAACTATTTCATAAGATGTTCGATGCTCAAATCCGGGAGCCAGGAAACTTATTTGATATGATCGGGTACAGAGTGTATACATTTGCCCCTAATTGTTATGCAATCCCGCATGCACAAGTATACGGCAGGTCACGAAATATCTACTAACTGCGTCAGAATGTGACCCGCCGAACACTAGTGTATTTCCAGTGTGCCTATCAAGTAGGGGCAAATATCACAAATATTCCCCCCCCCCCTAGGGTAGGGTTGTCCAACTGGTAGTTGGCGGTGCCATTTATCGTGGCCCTCGAAAGGTTTTTAATGAAAAGTTAAAGACCCTAGCACGCATATCGAGCGAGAACAAAGGGCGCCTAGCACACGTGCCCTCTTGAAGTCAACACCCCTTAATGTAAAATAGGCTCGAGTTTAGATTTAAGATTTTTTTACAGTAATTCAGAAATTGAAAATCATTCCAATGTGTTTTGCTGGACACCTTGGCCTGATACCATGTATAGTTTCATTCCCACTTTCCTGTTTCAGCGCATCCGCATGAAGAGCCGAAATTAACAATAGGAAGGCCATATGTGGATCGCTCGAAAATTAAAATATGGCTCGCAACCCTATTAAAGGTCATAGTGTGGCCCTAGGGGCCTCGCATGTTGGACACCCCTGCTTTAGGAATTTTTCCTACCGCCAGCCGGTTACCCTTTACATCACAATGGGACCCATTCTCGACCACTCACAAGACACCAACACATTTGCGGACTCCTCTGATCTGGGTTCAGCCGAACGCGAGGTCCTCCGCGACAACACATTCACGAGTAACAAGGGACGAACAACCATGCCCAAGGTAGAACTCGAACACGCAACCCTTCGGACCGAAGCGCCGAGTCGATACGCTTTCTTAGCCACCTCGGCAATCTAGGTCGGTCTATCAAATGACATAGAATCTCCCACTGCATGCTAATTGGCAATGCGCTCTCATCTTTGATCTCTCTATATGCCCCAGAAGTCTGTAACATTAATTTTTAGTTCACTTCAGGTACGAAATACAGTATATTTCGAAATTGCAACTTATTGAAACTAATGAAAATGTACATTTATTTTACGAGACTTAGGGATAAAGAGATATTTTTGTGTGAGCGGAGGATCATTTTAGAGAAGTCATGAGGGAACAATTTGGTTATATTTCACTTGTTTAATAAATTACTCTTTTTTTAAATGTCCAATTTTATTATTTTTTAAATTTCCGAGTTATATGACAGATTAGATACTCGTAGTTCCCGCCACCTCTGCTAAAGCACCTACGAGACTAGATCCCGCCAAGAAAGTAGTTTTAAAATGTTCAAAACCCTCAGGCAATAAAAGACAATTTACCCAACATACTATTAACCATCAACTTTGTTTACCTTTTGAATAAAGCTAGTATTATTACATCCAACGATGTTATTCGAGAAAAATACTTCGTTGACTTCTCGCTCGAGAACTTCTTCCATAATAATGGATTTCTTTATACATATTATTTATTTTTCAAATGGCTAAAAGAGGCCACTATGTTCTAGATAGTTGATTACTTACAAGCCCGCTACCGCGAGTGTTTATTACGAAGGTGCGACGTGTAATACATAACCTTTCATCTTATGGGATCACCTTTGTAACATTTTGACGTATTTTCTAAGCCTCGATGAATATTGGTAATATTTTGAATCCGGCAGTAGCCTCTACTACTTCAGAAGCACTAATGATCCGTTTGATCTACTGTAAAAAAACTTTATTAAATAGTGTTTAATAATGAGTCACGTTATCGACTTCTGAACTGTTAAGTAAACATCATTGGATAAGATAGCATAACGTAATGCACTTTTAAGCACTGAATTATACATCTAGAGTGCGCATTAAAATAAATGATCAAGCCGCGAGCCTCACCTCCTTCGCCTTGGCCCTCTCCAGCAGCTCGTTGTGGCGGTCGTCGTCGAGCTTGAAGGCCTCCTGCAGGTAGGTGAAGAGCGCGGCCCGCTCCTCCGCGGCGCTGGCGTCGCATCCGACGATGTGCAGGATCTCATACAGCACCTCCAGGTACAGCTCCTCAATCTGCCGGGGCACAAAGGAACTTCAGTCAGGCCCGCAGTCACATTAGAGAGCTCAGTTGGCAGAGGCGCGGGCAGCGATTCGGAAGTCCCGCGGTCACAAACACGGCGAACTCGTCAAGTGGCCGTTGCGGTAATGAGTAAAATGATTGGAGTCGATTATACGCAACATTTCGCAAAAGTGTTACTATATTTTTAAATATTTTCATTTCAACGCGGTTTGGAAATGGTTGGTATTTATTTATGTTCTGAACAACGTTTCATTACACAATTTATTTTTGCAACTACCAAAAATAAAAAAATATCACGATATTAACCGGGATTTTCTAGGGAGAAGCTTTATCTGATGTCAGTAATTAAGTACAATATTCAAACATGAAAGGTTATGGGTATAAGACATAAATAGTATAGAAATGCAAACTTTATCCGCACCACCTAAAATACAGAGGTAATAAATGGTTGTTTGTTTAGTCTTTTCATAACGTTTAGTATAACGTTTAATAAGTTCATTACGAAGTCCACAAGTTTGTTGAAGTTTGTTAAAGTTGGGATGAATCGTGAGTAAATCTAGTTCAAATTTCTAAAGTTTAGTGTCCTTTTAACAAGACAGACAATGTATTTTAAGATATTAATGTTAATTCACTAAATTCTAACTAAATTCTCTCTGTTCAAGATGAATTTGCATTCTGACTGACGATGTAATGTGTAAGTTCTACACACGTACAACATTTCAGAATTTCCTATATTAACAAGGTTATTCTTGTAATACTTAATTTGTACACAGATTTCAATTCTACATTTATATTTTTAAGTTTTATGAGCCTGAAAATTGTATATTTCACTTAACATTCCTCGCCAAATATCTCGCAAAAATGTATCTCAAAATATCTTCCTTCTCCAAAAGAAGGCGCTTGAAGAGAAAGGCAAATGTAATCTTGTTTTTAACCACGTGCTAGTTACCTTTCCCTTAAAATTTATTTTTTAAACCACATTTAGTCCTGAACCGCAACAATTTTTTCCTCTTTACCAAGTTTGTTTCGTTGATGTCAATGCTTTTGATTTTTAATGGAACCTTAGAAAAACTCTGGCCTTTCGTGACATACCACAACTTTCCCGCATGCTTTAAAAAACGTTTTTTGTAATTTATATGCGACTCTCACAATCACAATTACAATTATGTGTTATACTTTCTTCTCAGCGTGTACGTTTTAATTACAGCAAATACAAAATCACCCAAATTGTGGACATAACGGTTATTTATATTTTAATGTATATGGGAAAGCTAATTGTGTAAAGAAGTTATGCTGCTGTATATGGATAACGGAACGGGAATTTCTCTTGTACGTAAAGAAGGAGGCATGCTCTTTTATATCTTGAGTAATACGATGAGATTTTCAATGGAGATGAATATTTTACAATCTTCAATTCTACGTTATAATATCATTCACACGAAAAAGGAGAGAAGAAAAGATACATATAAAAGCCAACGCAACATTACCTGCCATATCACATAACGTGTTACTTGCTGCCCTTTCATAACGATAAACGTCTTGTCGGACACACGTCTTGACGAACAATGAGAAAATATCACTAAAGAGACAGAAAGAATAAGAAAGTAGACTACGGAAGAAAGAAGAACGAATCGGGTTCTCAAGAAAAGTTCTACCCGGAAGGGACCGGTTCACTTGTAACGATGCCAATAGAGAACGTCAGAAATTCCTGGCGTGAACGACAACAAACCGTTTTAGTTGCTACTCGAACATTACGAGAAATGTCTCAGGGGTCAAAAGTAATTATTGGAGAGTAACATCTTCATTTATTTGTTTTTACAATGTAATTGGACTCTCGAAATTTGGAAGTTTTCCAGTTTACTTGGAACATTTATTTCGTGTCCAGAACTTTGGTAACTTTGACAACAATGAATTACATTTTTTGTCAATTTGAACGTGCAAATTAAGTAATATTTACATTTTATATGTCTTAAGGGCCACAAAAGTGATGATTTTTTGAAAATGTATTATTTGAAAAGATTTTTTTTCTTCTCTCATTATCATAATCGAGTCTCTGAAGTTTAAATGACCCTTCTTGTGCCTCGCATATGTACTGGTACATTTTGATTATTCTACATCCAATAAAAGGCTCCTTGATATCTGGATTTTATTTTCCTTCCCTGAAGAAAAATAAAATCCTCTAATTCTTTATTTAAATATATGGGAATTTCCCTTCTCCCTATAGATTGGAGATAACTAGACTAGACGGAATGTTTGTCATATTACAAAACTATCTCCACTGCCCAAAATAATTTTCTGGCTCGTTCAGGACGTTTGACGTTGCTTCATTCATGACACACTGGGGACCTTGCCAAACACACCTCAACCTGCAAACCAATCGCCCTGTCACTCCTCACTTACTGTCATCGTCTGCAGGAGCAGACTCCTCTGCTTGAGGAGCATGTCCTTCTTAACGCCCCGAAAGGTATTCC